GTATAAACCCGTAGGCAAGAAGGCCAAGCCGGTCTCGATCCTAGTAGAAACGTCAAAGGAAGAGGCCATGGAGAAGGAGGAGGAAATCTTGCGGGTAATAAGGGAGAGGCGAGCAACGGAAGGGCATCGCATACCAGATGAGGTAGCAGACACCATGAAAATAGGAGTGGAAGGGTTTCTAACAACGGAAGAAACTCAATTGATAAGAAAGGCATGCCAGGAGTTTCATTTAGCTTTCGCTTTCAACGATCATCAGAAAGGGTGATTGGACGCAAAGTTGATTCCCCCTGTCAGGATCCACACCGTACAGCACGAGTGTTGGAATGATAAAGGGCCCGCCTATGAGTTTGGGATAGCAGCGAAGGTCACCGACCTACTTAGAGCCAAAATAGATTCTTTCGTGGCTGAACCCACCGCATCTCCCTACGCGAACAAGTGGTTCGTGTTCAGGAAGCCTAATAAGACGCTCAGGTGGATCCAGGACCTGCAGAAGCTCAATGCGGTAACGATCAGGGACGCAGGCTCGCTTCCACAGGCCGACTTGTTGACAGAATCTCATGCGGGGCGGAGTATTTACTCCCTGGTAAACTTGTACTCAAGATATGATCAGTTGCCGCTCGACACGAGGGATAAGACCGTATACCGCAATGCACACCCCGGTAGGACAGCTGCAGATGCAAGTGACCCCTATGGGCTTCACAAATGCGGTAGCAAAAGCTCAGAGGAGGATGCTCGCCGTCGCAGGGGATATGTTTCCAGAAAAGTGTGAAACTTACACAGATGATAGTCCCGTGAAAGGCGCAAGATACAAATATGAGACGGAAGTACAACCGGGAGCGTGGAAGTTCGTCTGGGACCACTCGCAGGCTATTAAGGACTTACTCCAGCGATTACTAGTCTACAACATTACTGCAAGCGGACCCAAGAGCATCCTGGACGTCCCGGAAGTAACCATACTGGGATTCCGTTGTGGAGCTTATGGGAGGAGACCCGATCCACCAAAGACTGATAAGATCTCTCAGTGGCCGACACCCTTGCGTACCACGACGGAAGTACGAGCCTTCCTAGGGGTGGTTGGGTTCTGGAGGATCTTCATCAAAGGTTTCGCAAAGATAGCGGAACCCATCCGCGCGATGATTAGGGAAGGTGGCACTATGGCTTGGACAGAGGATAGGGAAGAGGCAGCCCAGACCCTGAAAGACATCCTGTCGTCCGATCAGGTCACGTTAGCAGCACCCTGTTTCAATGACGAGGTAGGACGGCCCTTCATCTTAGAAACAGATGGGGGACCATTGGCAGTGGGAGGAGTATTCATACAGAGAAGCGAGGAGGGCAAAGAAAGACCAATCAGATTTGAAAGTAGGACCCTGAATTCAGCAGAACGACGGTATTCGCAGTTCAAGAAGGAGGTCTTAGCAATTCTGCATTGTCTGAAGACCTTCCAGGCATACCTGTTCGGGAGGCGATTTATCATAAGGATCGATCCCACCAACGTTGTCGGAGCCCTAAAGAACTACAAGCCCATAGACCCGACTGTCGGCAGATGGATAGGCTTCATATGGCAATTCGACTATAAGGTCGAGCGAATTGCAGGGCTTCGAAATAGGGAAGATGGGTTGAGCAGGGTTTGTATCATGCCAGAAGGAGTAGAGGACGCAGAACCAATTGACGCCTTCCTGGAGTACGAAGGAGGGACCCTTGTCGTGGATAATGAGATGGCAGATCCGACAATTACAACAGGCCAGTTGTTGATTCAAACCTTGGAAAAGGGCACACCAGCAGTGGTTGAAGAACTCAGGGAAGGACCAGTCACCACGGTCAGGTGCAAAGAGGAAAAGGACTCGTGGGGAGCATAAGTAGGGGCCAGAGAGGAACTGATGGCAATGACCGTGGAGGGGGGACGGGACGCCGTGATGACGTTGGCCGAAGCCTGGGCGCAGAAGGAGTGTCAGTATCTAGTCAACCTCACTCGGGAGGAGCAGGGTACCGATCAGAAGGAACAGGAGTTCTTCCTCATACAGATGTACGAGGGCGTCTTCAAAGAAATCGGTCTGCTACTTGTAGGGAACAAACAACCCACGGAAGTCAGTCCCAAGGCAAGGGAGGAAGTCGAAAAGTATGTCCTAAGAAAAGGCCACCTGTTCAAAAAAGAGTAAGGGATGATACCTAGGCGTCTTGTTTGTGCGAGGTCTAGGCAACTGGACGTAATCCAGGCAATGCATGACGGGCTAGCTGGAGGTCACCGGTCGTCCAAGGGGACACTTGCAAAGATCGTGCCCCTGTACTTTTGGCCAGGGATGGCAGGCATGGTCGCAACGTATTGTCAAACGTGTCTGATATGTCAAGAAAGGAGCGTCGTACGAGTTTACGAGCCCCTTAGACCCACCCGGGTACTGGGACCCGGACACCTTGTTCACCTCGACCTTGCCGTTATGCCCGTATCAACGGATGGGTTTAGATACATCTTGGATGCAAGGGATAATCTCAGTGGCTATGTGGAAGCCATAGCCCTCAAGAAGAAGACGGGGAAAGCGGTAGCCGACTGGGTGGAAGATTTCTACCTAAGGCACCCCTTCGTGCGCAGGTTTATAGCAGACAATGGGACAAAATTCGTTAACCAGGAAGTGTTGAGCAGGCTTAAGACATCGTGTGTACCGATCAAGATCACCGAGCCCTACCATCCTGAGGCAAATGCACCAGTAGAAAGGGGTCACCGGACTTTGAAGAACACAATCGCAAAGTTGGCAGCAGATAATTTGGGAAGTTGGCCACAGTTTCTCAAGCAGGCAGTCTTCGCCGAGAACATGACTCCGAAAAGAACAACGGGATGTATTCCAGCAGAGCTCTGGTAAGGGAGATCGATTTTCCGATAGAAGCTTTGGTCCCTACCTGGAACAGGCTAGATCACGATCCACACTTGAGCACGGAAGAGTTAATCACCGCACGTTGTCAGCAGGTCGCCAGGAATGAGGAGGCACTCGAGGAAGTAGTCAATCGTGTGACGGACAGCCGAATGAGGGATAAAGCAAGATGGGACCAGGTTAAGAACATTCGGAAGGAGCCACTCCAGGTGGGGGAAAAGGTGCTAGTTAGGAACTCTACTCTTGAAAGCACATGGTCCGGGCAGCTGGGAAAAAGATTCAAAGGGCCTTACAAGATCGCTAAGCGGGTGGGACTGAACACATTTGAACTTGAGGATCTTTATGGTACTAGCATAAGAGGGCCATTTCCGGGACAGAGATTGGTCATATTTTTTAGCAGGGATCCGGTGGAACAGTGGCTACAAGAGGCCCAGGACAGGGAAACTGGGAACTGACAGCCTGAAAGGCAGGCAGCTGGCTATAAGTTCTTGACCGCCTCCCTGTGGAAGTGATTATGACCACAGGGATTGTTCGTTTGTGTGTCTTGACTTTTGTGGAACGTGGGGAGACTGCTTGGGTTGACTGTGACTGGGACTGGGAGCACGGGACAGTATATTATAGTTTTTATGGGGTGATGCTGTGGACTACCTACATGGGGCACCTATGTGTTGGGACAACGTGTCGAGAGTTCTAAGGGATAATGGGGCTACCAACTATGTGGGGGCAAGCAAGAGTTCTAGGGAAGCCTCCAGAGCCGCAAACGGGAGTGGAAGGGAATGCGTGTGTATGAGGGGTACCGTGACTATTATGTATGAACAGGGCCAGGCAAGAAGAAGGAAGACAACAAACGACAAAAATGGACTTTGGAAATAAAAACGATAGCAACGCCATCAACAGGCCTACTGAGGGACAGTCATCAAGGCAGGCTGGACAATCGAGCTCCAGGAAAAGGAAATTGTACGTGGGATTTGATCACAACTTGGTTGTGAATAGGGGAGGGAGAAAGCAAGGGACCAGGGGACGATCGCCACTAAAGGAAGGGGAGCCGATAGTCCTCCCATCGGAAAGCGACACTAGCAGTGAGGAAGAGAGGAACCCGGGGAAAAGACCAAGGTTGGACGAGGACGTGCCCGTGGAATTTATCGACCTCACCTGCGAGGAGGAGGAAGATGAGGTAACAACGCCCACAAGAGAAGAACGGGGAAGAAGGGAGCAGCCGGGTGAGAAAAATGACAAATGGATAGAAGAGTTCGGATATGAGTTCAGCGATTGGTTCGATCAATGGGGGACTATCTTGCGATACCAATGGATCATGAAGGCAAGGGAAAAGTTGGGCAGAGGAGAGGATCTAGCCCCAACAACCTTCTTTACAGAACAGACACTCCTTCAGTTCCAAGGAATAAAGAGGCAAATGGAGCAGGAAGGGGAGAATCGCGCAAGGAGGGAGGCTCAACGTAGGCCACCTGGACATTAGGGGAATAGCAGGCGCAATGGGGGGGGGGGGTTAACTAGAAATTAGGAAGGGTTGGTACCTGGGCAGGGACAACTGCCATTTTGAATTTCGCATTTGAACTCTGCCAAATGGACTGAAATGGGGCAACTTTTGACTAAAGACCGGGCAATGGGTGCTATTTTGAGTAAGTCGTTGCCTTTTCGGGAAAATACATAAGGGTCATTGCACTTAGATATAGAACTGTGACGGGTTGCATTAGCTAAGAGTAAGCAAGGGGAAAACAAGGGGGACCTAAATGAGACGAGTCTGTAATGTTGTCGTTGCATTCAAACTTTGTCTCCTCCTTTTTTTGGGAAGGACTATAATGAAACTACTTTTTGGACTGAAGAAACTATTGGGGATTGAGAGGCTTGTGCTACTTTGTACGAGTATTCGCTTCTTTGGGGAAAACGTGAACTTTTTTTTGGTAGTAAGAAACGGACTTTGGGGATGATTGGCTTTGCCTCGAGGAAATAGGCAGGGGCATGTGAACTCTTGAACATTGGAAGATGCAGTCATGGCGAGAGTTTTTCTTTCGAAATTGTGTACCCACGATTGAATGAGTCGCTCACGAGTCCTTGTGAGAGGTTAGGGGACCTATGGGTAGAGAGGCACCCTCTCCCCTAGGAGCCTAATCCAACCTACACCAGGCAATCCCAGAGCATTGAGAAGCATATGAGAAGTCAGAAAAGTGGCAGGGAAACATTGAAATGATGCAACACCCCTTGTAATGGTTGAACGGTCGGGCGGGCTAGTGCTGCTTGGGGCCGCGAGCCTCAACTTGAGTACTAGACGCTAAATCGGATGTATGGATGGATGTGAGAACGACAAAAGCCATGAGGAAAAGGAAGAAGCATGCGTAAAAACCCAAGACGATGGCCGCCTTCTAACCCCCGAGACGAGACAGGATCCGTGTCCTCGAGGCCCACCCCCTCGGGCGCTAACATTGCAATGAACAAGGATGACCCTAACCAGGCTGTCCAATTGAAATGGACAAGGATGACCCTAACCAGGCTGTCCAATTGAAATGGACAAGGATGGTCCTAACCAGGCTGTCCGATTGCAATGAATAAGAACGGCCCTAACCAGGCTGTTCGACTTGAAATTGGGAAGAATGACCCTAACCAAGTTGTTCGGAATGGCCCCTGACAGGGGTCATTCTTTGGAATTGGCACTGAGGTCCCTTTGCATGACTGCTTGAGATGTATGATACGGGGAGAGCTGAGCTTTGGCAAAGATATTGGCGAGATATTGAGCTGAGTCTGAAAGAGACATGGAGCTGGGCCTCTGAAAAGATATTGGAAAGTGCGGAGCCTTGGAAAAGACATCGGAAGAGATATTGGACTCAACTTTGGAAGAGATATTGTATTGAGCATTGGACTGAGATTGAGCATTGGACTGAGATTGAGCATGAGAATGGGACTGCGCATTGGAATTGGATTGAACATTGGAAATTGCATTGCATAAACAGGGGACCCTAGGCAATCTGAAATGGAATTGGAAAGAGCCTTGAAACGGAACTTTTTTTTTTCTAGTCTTTGGCCTCAGCAAGAGGGGGACACCGGTGCATGCACCGCGACCCCAAGACCTCTATCCCCTTGAGGGAAAAAGTCTCAGCGCGACCCGTTCCTCTTCGAGAGGGTGAGGATTAAAGGACTAAGGCACCTACCACTTGGATCGGTGCGGGACGTCCGGAACCACCTCCGACAATGAGCTCTAGTCGGGGAATTCCAACTGCGCCTCCTGTTGAATGTCTAAACGTCAAAGGGCGAGAGAGCCAAATGGGCAGGAAAGCCATTCTCATCTAGTCTATTTTGCTGCTCTCCAACCACACGCCATATCATAGAGGGGTGGCATGGCCGTTTGGGTCGGACCACGGCTGCCCCCGCTAAGTTGGGTGGCACTGTCCAAGGGGAGAGGTTGGGCGAGGTACCGGGTGTAGTCCGCCACCACCACGGGGCATTGACACTGCCCTGCCGGAACATTACAACCGTTTCGGGACTAATTGCGAGGTCTTCGTAGCTACACTCGCAGACTGATCGAGAGCCCAACTCTCTTGAAAGAAAGAGGCCGGAATCCAGAAAGTTACCACTCGGGAGGAACGATTCGCGAGGAACACTCTTACTGCTAGACGAGGCCCTGGCAGGCTTGGATTGGACCTACCTAGCAGACGTGAGGAGGAACCTTGGTATTGGTGCTCGCCACGTAAGAGAAGAAAGGTCGGACCAGGTAGAAGGATGAGGCGTTGTCCGCTGGGGAAGAACTGATCACTCTTCCTTTTGTGAAGAGGATGGGCTTGTGTCCTTGACTTGCGGTCGGCGGGCCAAAGGTCTACGTACCTCCGAGTGAGAACCAGTCGCGCGATGGGGATATCGCGTTTTGAGTGGGGGGAAGGTGTGTCGTCTACCAATGAATACGCATGAAAACAAGACTTGTAATTGGTCTTGGGAAAAAGGGGCCTGTCAAGATGGCGCGAACAGAAAAAGATTGTAATTGACTTTGTATGGGCCTAAGAAAAGGGGGCCTGGTAAGACGGCAGAGTAGAAAAGACTTGAGTAAGTGACATGGTATAAACTTGAGAAAATGGCTTGGCAAGATAGCCAGGAAGGAAAGGGCTGGCGTGATAGATTCTGCATAGACCCAGGAAAGGAGTTTGCAGACTGAGAGTTGGCTGTGTAATTGGCTCGTATAAGCTCGAAAAGATGAGAAGTGGCTGAGGGGTGAGCCAAGCAA